GGGCTGTCCCCCTGTCCCCTCCCCTGTCCCCTCTGAGCCCCTCTCTCCCCTCAGGGACCTGCTGGAGGCCACCCCGTCCCCGGTGGTCTTCTGCCACAACGACGTGCAGGAGGGTGAGTGCCCCGGGGGTGTCCCTGTCCCCCAGCCCCCCTAAACCCCCAAACCCAAAGCCCAAACCCCGGTGCCGACCCCGCAGGGAACATCCTGCTCCTGGCGGGGCGCGAGGGCTCCTCGGAGCGGCTCATGCTCATCGACTTCGAGTACAGCAGCTACAACTACCGGTGGGCTTCGGGCTCCCGGGGGCTTGGGGGGCTCCTCGGGGGATTTTAGGGGTCCCCGGGGGTCGCTCGCACTCCGTGACCCCAGTGGGATTTGGGGTTTCACCCCTGTGCTCCATGATCTCTGTGGGATTTCGGGTCCCCACTCCGTGATCCCAGTGGGATTTTGAGACCCTTCTTCTCTTCTCCATGCTCCCGGTGGGATTTGGGGCTTTAATCCCCTCTCCATGATCCCACTGGGATTTGGAGCTCCCTCTCCAGGCTCCTGGTGGGATTTGGGGCTTTCATCCTGGGATTTGGGGTTCCCTCTCTCTGCGGGCTCCCAGTGGGATTTGGGGTTCCCTCTGCACGCTCCCAGTGGGATTTGGGGTTCCCATCCCCTCTGCAGGCTCCCGGTGGGTTTGGGGTTCCCCCTCCATGCTCCTGGTGGGATGTGGGGCTGCAATCCCCTCTCTGGGCTCCCGGTGGGCTTGGGGGTTTAAATCTCCACTCTGATCCCCGGGTGGGTTTGGGGTGGCAGTGGGGTCGGTGCTGCCCCGCTGTGGGTTGGGGTCGGTGCTGTGTGACCCCCCCGGTGGGTTTGGGGTCACAGTGGGGTCGGTGCTGTGTGACCCCCCGGTGGGTTTGGGGTCACAGTGGGGTCGGTGCTGTGTGACCCCCCCCCGCAGGGGCTTTGACCTGGGCAATCACTTCTGCGAGTGGGTGTACAGCTACAGCCACGAGCGCTGGCCCTGCTTCCAGGCACAGCCCGAGCACTACCCCAGCCGCCAGCAGCAGGTCTGGGGGCCGGGGGTCCTGGGGGGGTCCCTGGGGCTTTGGGGGTTTCTGTTCCATTTTGGGGGTGTCTGTGCCACTTTTGGGGTGCTCTGTGCCCTCCTTTGGGGGTTTCTGTTCCATTTTGGGGGTGTCTGTGCCACTTTTGGGGTGCTCTGTGCCCTCCTTTGGGGGTTTCTGTTCCATTTTGGGGGTGTCTGTGCCACTTTTGGGGTGCTCTGTGCCCTCCTTTGGGGGTTTCTGTTCCATTTTGGGGGTGTCTGTGCCACTTTTGGGGTGCTCTGTGCCCTCCTTTGGGGGTTTCTGTTCCACTTTGGGGGTCTCTGTGCCACTTTTGGGGTGCTCTGTGCCCTCCTTTGGGGGTTTCTGTTCCACTTTGGGGGTCTCTGTGCCACTTTTGGGGTGCTCTGTGCCCTCCTTTGGGGGTTTCTGTTCCACTTTGGGGGTCTCTGTGCCACTTTTGGGGTGCTCTGTGCCCTCCTTTGGGGGTTTCTGTTCCATTTTGGGGGTGTCTGTGCCACTTTTGGGGTGCTCTGTGCCCTCCTTTGGGGGTTTCTGTTCCACTTTGGGGGTGTCTGTGCCACTTTTGGGGTGCTCTGTGCCCTCCTTTGGGGGTTTCTGTTCCACTTTGGGGGTCTCCGTGCCTCTTTTGGGGTCCTCTCTGATTTTGGGAGGTCTTTTTACCTCTGTTTGGGGTTTCCGTGCCGCTTTTGGGGTCCTCTCTGCCAAGATTTGGGGTTTCTATGCCTTCATTTGGGGTCTCTGTGCCACTTTGGGGTGTCTGTGCCACTCTTTGGGGTCTTCGGTGGGATTTTTGGGGGTCTCTGTACCTCCATTGGGGGTCTCTGTGCCACTTTAGGATGTCAGTGCCACTTTTGGGGTCCTCAGTGGGATTTTGGGGGGGCTTTGTACCTCTATTTGGGGCCCTCTGTGCCCCCATTTGGGGTCTCTGTGCCCCCATTTTAGGGGTCTCTGTGCCCCGATTTGGGGTCTCTGTGCCATTTTAGGGTCTCTGTGCCCCCTTTTGGGATCTCTGTGCCCCCATTTGGGGTTTCTGTGCCCCTATTTGGGGTCTCTGTGCCCCCATTTGGGGTCTCTGTGCCATTTTAGGGTCTCTGTGCCCCCATTTGGGGGTCTCTGTGCCCCTGTTTGGGATCTCTGTGCCCCTGTTTGGGGTCTCTGTGCCCCATATTTGGGGTCTCTGTGCCATTTTAGGGTCTGTGTGCCATTTTAGGGTCTCTGTGCCCCCATTTGGGATCTCTGTGCCCCCGTTTGGGATCTCTGTGCCCCCGTTTGGGGTCTCTGTGCCCCCATTTGGGGTCCCTGTGCCATTTTTACTTTTGGGGTCCTCAGTGGGATTTTGGGGGGGCTTTGTACCTCTATTTGGGGCCCTCTGTTCCACTTTTGGGGTCTCTGTGCCCCCATTTGGGGTCTCTGTGCCCCCGTTTGGGGTCTCTGTGCCCCCATTTGGGGTCTCTGTGCCCCCATTTGGGGTCTCTGTGCCATTTTAGGGTCTCTGTGCCCCCATTTGGGGGTCTCTGTGCCCCTGTTTGGGATCTCTGTGCCCCTGTTTGGGGTCTCTGTGCCCCATATTTGGGGTCTCTGTGCCATTTTAGGGTCTGTGTGCCATTTTAGGGTCTCTGTGCCCCCATTTGGGATCTCTGTGCCCCCGTTTGGGATCTCTGTGCCCCCGTTTGGGGTCTCTGTGCCCCCATTTGGGGTCCCTGTGCCATTTTTGGGCTCCCTGCACCCCCAGCACCCTCCTGGCTGCCCCGCCCCCCTGCCGTGGGTGTTTTTGGGGTGCCCGGGGGTTGGGGTCTCACTCCCCTTTCCCCCCAGCTTCACCCTGGCCTCTCACTTCTTCTGGGGGCTCTGGTCCGTGGTGCAGGCCAAGATCTCCACCATCCACTTCGGGTACCTGGTGAGTCTGGGGGCTGCTCAGCCCCGGCCCCCTCCCACCCTGTTCCTGCTTCCGCTCCCCTTCCCCTCTTTTCTCCCCTTTCCTCCCTTTTCTGCCCTTTTTCTCCCCTTTTTGCCCCTTTTCCCCCTTTTTTGCCCCTTTTTCCCCAGGATTACGCCCAGAGCCGTTTCCAGGCCTATTTCCAGCACAAGGCTCGCTGCTCCTGAGGGGATCCCCCAAATCCTGCCCCCCCCGGGCTTTGGGGGGGGCGTTGGGACGGTTGGGGGGGTTTGTAACGGTTTGGGGGGGCCCCACAACGGTTTGGGGGGGGCTGAGCCCCGGGACCCCCCCCCCGCACCCCGGGACTCGGCAGCAGAGGTGGGTGGGACCCCCCGAGAAGGGTGGGATTTGGGGTGGGGGCTCTGGGGACCCCCAGATCCGCACTCCTGGCCAGTAACGGGGGTTTGGGGCGGTTTTGGGGTGTCGCAGAGGGGGTGCGGGACCCCTGTTTGTGGCTCAGTGCCCCCCCGCGCCCCCCGCCCGCAGCTCTGGGGCCGGGGGGCTCCCGGGGTCCCCCCGTTTCGACGGCAGAATGTAAAACTCAGACCAATAAAGCCGCGCTGGGGCCGGCGCTCGAGTCCTCCTTCCCTAATCCCGCCCTAAATCCCACCCGAATGCCCACCCCGAATCCCGCCCTCAAATTCCAAATCCCCCCCTCAAATTCCACCATCCCAAATCCCACCCGCTCAAGTCCCTCCTCCACAAATCGCACCCCAAAATTCCCCCCTAAATCCCACCCTTCAAATTCCCCCTTCCCAAATCCCACCTCAAAATCCCACCTTCCCCACCCCCAAATTCCCGACTGCTCCTTCTGCCCCCTCCCCAGATCCCCCTCCCCAATCCCCCTCCCCAAATCCGCCCCCCGGGACCCCCCAGTCGCCGTCGGGCAGGGGGGCGGGGCCGGGGGGACAAGGGACACGCGAGGTGACATGAGGGGTGCGGGGGCTCTTTGGGGTGGGGGTCCCGGCTGCTGGAGACCCCTCCCCGTGTCCCTTCAGGGTGGGGGCAGGGGACAGGCAGGTGACAGCCAGGACAGCGGGCAGGGACAAGGAGGTGACAGCACGGGTAGGGGACAGCCAGGACACCGGGCAGGGGACAGGGAGGTGACAGCACGGGTAGGGGACAGCTAGGACACCGGGCAGGGGACAGGGAGGTGCCACTCAGGGTGACGGGCAGGTGACAACCGGGACAGGGGCCAGAGGTCGGGCAGGTGACAAGCAGGTGCCAGGCAGGTGGCAGCGCGTGGAGCAGGTGACAGGCAGGGCACGGGGACAGGGACAGCAGCCACTGCCCCGGGCACGGACAGCCGGAGCCCGTGGCAGAGCCACTGTCCCTGTCCCGGTTCGTGTCCCTGTCACTGATGCAGGTCACTGTCCCGGGATGGCAGTCCCTGTCCCGGGTGTGTCTCCCTGTCCTGGTCCGTGTGTCCCTGTCCCCAGGATGCGTGTCCCTGTCCCGGGTCGTGTCCCTGTCCCTGATATGGGTCCCTATCCCTGTCCTGGTCCGTGTGTCCCTGTCCCGGGTCCCTGTCCCAGGTGCGGGTTCTTGTCCCGGGACGTGGATCGCCTGGAGGAGGTCGGGATCCCCCCGGGATGTCGGTGTCCCCGCTGTCCCCCGGTGTCCCTGCTGTCCCCCGGTGTCCCTGCTGCCCCCCGGGATGTCGGTGTCCCCGCTGTCCCCACTGTCCCCCCGGGGTGACGCTCCGTGGTCCGCCCCCCGGGACCCCCCAGTCGCCGTCGGGCAGGGGGGCGGGGCCGGGGGGACAAGGGACACGCGAGGTGACATGAGGGGTGCGGGGGCTCTTTGGGGTGGGGGTCCCGGCTGCTGGAGACCCCTCCCCGTGTCCCTTCAGGGTGGGGGCAGGGGACAGGCAGGTGACAGCCAGGACAGCGGGCAGGGACAAGGAGGTGACAGCACGGGTAGGGGACAGCCAGGACACCGGGCAGGGGACAGGGAGGTGACAGCACGGGTAGGGGACAGCTAGGACACCGGGCAGGGGACAGGGAGGTGCCACTCAGGGTGACGGGCAGGTGACAACCGGGACAGGGGCCAGAGGTCGGGCAGGTGACAAGCAGGTGCCAGGCAGGTGGCAGCGCGTGGAGCAGGTGACAGGCAGGGCACGGGGACAGGGACAGCAGCCACTGTCCCGGGCACGGACAGCCGGAGCCCGTGGCAGAGCCACTGTCCCTGTCCCGGTTCGTGTCCCTGTCACTGATGCAGGTCACTGTCCCGGGATGGCAGTCCCTGTCCCGGGTGTGTCTCCCTGTCCTGGTCCATGTGTCCCTGTCCCCAGGATGCGTGTCCCTGTCCCGGGTCGTGTCCCTGTCCCTGATATGGGTCCCTATCCCTGTCCTGGTCCGTGTGTCCCTGTCCCGGGTCCCTGTCCCAGGTGCGGGTTCTTGTCCCGGGACGTGGATCCCCTGGAGGAGGTCGGGATCCCCCCGGGATGTCGGTGTCCCCGCTGTCCCCCGGTGTCCCTGCTGCCCCCCGGGATGTCGGTGTCCCCGCTGTCCCCCGGTGTCCCTGCTGTCCCCCGGGATGTCGGTATCCCCGCTGTCCCCCCGGGGTGACGCTCCGTGGCCCGGGCTGTTGATGACGCCCCATCCCGGCGCTGCCCGTTCTGTCCCGGGATGTCCAGCCCTGTCCCGGGACAGGCACCCCCGGGGATGTCGTGCTCCTTGTCCCGACATGTCGCTGTCCCCGGCCGGGGACTCCTGTCCTGCCCCGGGCTGTCGCTTTCCCCCGGGACACGGGTCCGTGTCCCGGGATCCGGGTGGCCCCGCGCTGTCGCGGTCCCCGTCCCGGTGTGTCGGGGTCCCCCCGGGTGTCGCGGTCCCCCCGGGGGCGGAGCGGCGCCGCCCGGCCCCTCCGGTGTCCGGTTACCGGCGGCCGCAGGAGCCGCCGTCCCGCGGAGCCGCGGCCCCCGCGCTGCCCACGCAGGTACCGGGCCCGGGGAGGGGGCGCGCACGGGACCCACGCGCGGGGACCCCCGGTACCGGCAACCCCCGGCCCCTCCGGTGGCGCCGCGCCCGGTGCCGGCTCCCACGCGTGTCCGTGGGGAGCGACCCCCGCGCCCCCCGCCTGGCCGAGGGTCCCCTCGCGGTGTCCCCTCCGGGGGTCCCGGAGCGGGGCCCGGCCCCACGCGGGGCCGCCCCGGGGCTGCGCATCCCGGCCCCGGAGCCGCGGTGACCTTGGGCGGGGCGGGGGGACACGGCGGGAGTGTCCCCGGTGCCACCGCCTCAGGGACACCCGGGGGGCGCGGGGACACGGCCTGCGGGACAGGGCGGGCTGGGCCGGGCCGGGCCGTGCCACGGTGCCCTGCGGGTGGCACAGGCGGTGGCACAGGGCCGGGCGGTGGCAGTGCCACGGTGCCCTGCGGGTGGCACAGGCGGTGGCACACGGCCGGGCGGTGGCAGTGCCACGGCGCCCAGCAGGGCTGGGGATGTGTTTAATGCCCAGCTGTGCCGTGCCAGGCCAGGCCGTGCCGTGCTCTGGGGTGGCATCGGTGCCATCAGCGCCGTGCCAGGCCAGGTGACACAGTGAGGTGCCACGGGGCGCAGTGTGGTGACACCACGAGGTGCAGAGGGCACAGCAGCCCCGCTGTCACCGGGTCGTGGCTGTCACCCTCAGCCCAAGGCCACCGTGGGAAAGGTCCCCGTGTTGGGGACAGGGGTGTCACCCCCGGACACCCCGGGCTTGGCGCTGGCCGTGCCCTCACCAGGGGGTCCCAGAGCCGGGGGGGTTTCGTGGCACCCCCGGAGCGGAGGGGTCTCCAGGGTGACACAAGGACTTGGTGACACCCCGGGGTTCCCGGCCGTGTCCGTGCCACCCCTCCCGCATTCCCGCAGGGGACACGGGGCAGGGGACAGCGTGTGTCCCGTGCGGGGCGGGGGCCGGGCTGTCCTCCCCGCTGTCCCCTCCGGGGCCGCGCTGGCGGCGGTGACAGCGCTGACCCTTCCCTCAGTGGGCACCGGGCCAGCGCCTCGTGACGCCGCCGTGACGCGGCCCGGGGGGCTCCCGCGGGCCACCGCCGCCTGGCACCGCCTCGGGGACAGCGGGGAGGGCACCCCCGTCCCCCCCTCCCTGCGGGGTCCCCCCTCAGCCCCGGGTCCCGTGTCGGTGGCAGGCGGCCCGCGCCGGGGGTGGCCGTCCCCGTGCCCATGGCCGCGGTGTCCCCCCGCAGGTGTCACCGGCGGGTCCCCAGCATGGCGGAAGCTCACCAGGCCGTGGCCTTCCAGTTCACGGTCACCCCCGAGGGCTTGGACTTCCACCTGAGCCGCGAGGCCGTGCGCCAGCTCTACCTGGCCGCCGTCCACTCATGGAAAAAGCGCTTGGTCCGCGCCAAGGTGGGCTCGGCCGCCCGCGTCCCCTCCCCCGGCAGCCCCCCGTCACCCCCGTGACCCCGCTGTGCCCACAGAACAGCTTCCTGACCGGCGTGTACCCCGCGTCGCCCTCCAGCTGGATGGTGGTGGTGATGGCCACCGCCGGCTCCTGCTACTGCCAGGTGGATCCGTCCCTGGGGCTCATCGCCCGCATCCAGCACTGGCTGCCCCGCGGGTGAGCGCGGGACACGGCCCGAGGGCCCCTCCGTGCTGGGGACACGGCCCGAGGGCACCGGGCTGGGGGCACGGCCCGAGGGCCCCTCCGTGCTGGGGACACGGCCCGAGGGCCCCTCCGTGCTGGGGACACGGCCCGAGGGCACCTCCCTGCTGGGGACACGGCCCGAGGGCAGCTCCGTGCTGGGGACACGGCCCGAGGGTCCCTCCGTGCTGGGGACACGGCCCGAGGGCACCTCCGTGCTGGGGACACGGCCCGAGGGCAGCTCCGTGCTGGGGACACGGCCCGAGGGTCCCTCCCGTGCTGGGGACAGCCCGCAGGGTCCCCCCGCAGTGTCCCGGGGAGAGACCCCAAAGGCCAGCGCGGCCCTGGGGACCGTGACAGCCCTGGGGGCTCCAGCCTGCACATCCCCGCCCCTTTTGGGGGTGCCCCTCAAGGGGTCCCACCCCCGACACAGCCCTGTCCCACAGAGGGACCCCAGCCCCCGGAAGGTGCAGGAGGCCTGTCACATCTCCATTTGGGGGTGTCCCTCAAGGGACCCCACTTCGGGACATGCCCGTGGGTCCCACTCCACAGGCACAGCCCCAGCTGGGGACATCCCTGGGAGTGCCACCAGGGGCACAGCCCTGTTTGGGGACACCTCCAGGCATCCCAGCCGTGCTGTGCCCACCCCTGAGGCGTGTCCCCGCGTGTCCCCAGCGAGGCGCTGACCCCCCAGGCGCAGGCCGTGGTCAGCACCGTGGTGTTCTCCACGGGGGCCTGGCTGGCGGCCGTGCTGCTCTTCCGGAGGCTGCTCCGCCTGATGCTCTCCTACCACGGCTGGATGTTCGAGCCCCACGGGCGCATGAGCCGCAGAACCCGGCTCTGGATCGTGAGCAGCACCCGCGCCGGGAGATGTGGGAGATGGGAAAGCTGTGGGAGCTTCAGGAGATGTGGGAGTCTTTGGAGCTTTGGGAGATGGGAGAGATGTGGGAGCTTCAGGAGATGTGGGAGTCTTTGGAGCTTTGGGAGCT